ACTTAACGTGTTCTAATAGCCCATGATAATCGTTTGCTCGAGCGGGGTCCGGAACATACGTTTTTAGAGTTAGGGTGGGTTTATATGGCGTTCACACTAAAAAAATTATAATTCAAAAAAATTGGCTTACGCCCTAAATTTTTTGTGAGAATCGTGTTTATTTAACATGTTCTAACTTCCCACCAAGCCGTTCCCCCAGGGGGGTCCGGAACACCCCATCCGCACTTCGATCAGAATTCAATCAAACACCTGTCATTTATCAAAATCGCTTTATGCCCAAAATTTTTTCACTGATATCCGGTCAACTCAACGTGTTCTAATAGCCCATGATAGTCGTTTGCTCTAGCGGGGTCCGGAACATACTTTTTTTTGTATTAGGGTGGGTTTACATGGCGTTCTGACTAAAAAAATATATTTCAAAAAAATGGCTTAAGCCCAAACATTTTTTGTGCAAATCGTGTTTATTTAACATGTTCTAACATCCCACCAAGCCGTTTCCCCCAGGGGGATCCGTAACACCCCCATCCGCACTTCGATCAGAATTCGATCAAACCCTGTCCTTTTTCAAAATCGCTCCAGGCCCAAAATTTTGTCACTGATATCCGGTCAACTCAACGTGTTCTAATAGCTCATGATAGTGGTTTGCTCGAGCGGGGTCCGGAACATACTTTTTAGGGTTAGGGTGGGTTTACATGGCGTTCTGACTAAAAAAAAACTATATTTCAAAAAAATTGGCTTACGCTCAAAAATTTTTCGCGGATATCTGGTCAACTTAACGTGTTCTAATAGCTCATGATAGTCGTTTGCTCGAGCGGGGTCCAAACATACTTTTTTAGGGTTAGGGTGGGTTTACATGGCGTTCTGACTAAGAAAACTATATTTAAAAAAATTGGCTTACGCCCAAAATTTTTTGTGCCAATCGTGTTTATTTAACATGTTCTAACATCCCACCAAGGGGGTCCGGAACCCCTCATCCGCACTTCGATCAAACACCTGTCATTTTCAAAATCGCTTTATGCCCAAAATTTTTTCATGATATCCGCTCAACCTAATGTGTTCTAGCCCATGATAGTCGTTTGCTCAAGCGGGGTCCTGAACATACTTTTTTAGGGTTAGGGTAAGTTTACATGGCTTACGCCCAAAAATTTTTCGCGGATATCTGGTCAACTTAACGTGTTCTAATAGCCCATGATAGTCGTTTGCTCGAGCGCGGTCCGGAACATACGTTTTTAGAGTTAGGGTGGGTATACAGGGTTATCCAAATTAAGTGTCCACCATTAGTAACTTTGTTATTAGTGAAAATACAAAGTTGTTTGAATTAGCAAACTAGTAGCATTTTTAACGCTGGTAAAAATGAAATAAAAAAAAACAATTGAGAGTCGTTATTTTGATTTTTTTCAGTAAAATAACATTTTTTTAAATGGAAACCCCTGTATATTATATTTTTTCTTTTAAGTTAAGCATCAAATTTTAAACAAAAAAGCTTACAATAACTTTTCACCTAGGTTACAAATTGTTGAAGTTATGGCCTCCAATCTGAAACAATTAAATTGTATCGACAAACTTTATTTTCAACATCAACTTATAATCTTACAAAATACAATAACAATTTTTTTTAAAGAAGATGCTCGAAAACACCACCTTGTTCTTCAATACATTTTTGGGCACGTTTTTCAACTGCTCGAACTGTCTTAAGTATGGTCCTACCATCTATCTGGGTTATCTTTTCCCTAACTGCAGTCTTTAACGCGTCAAGGTTATCGTACCTTCGCTTGTAAATTTGGTTCTTTAAGTAACCCCACAAGAAGTAATCAAGTGGGTTTAGATCTGGTGATCTGGGAGGCCACTGTATTGGGCCATTTGTTCCTATCCACTGACATTAAAAGTAGTACTTAGAAAATGATAAGTACCTCTGGAGTTGTGGGCAGGTGCGCCATCTTGCTGAAAATGCAGATGATGTCTACTTATAAGATCCAATTCGTCTAAGAAATTAGTCAGAATTTCTGACATAAATTCCACATATCTTTCACCAGTTAGGGTTCCCTCATAAAAGAACGGGCCAACAATTTTTGAACCAATTATACCGCACCAAACGTTGAAACTGAAACGGACTTGTGGGCCTCTTGGATGTACTAACAAAAGATTTTCTCTTGACCAATAATGGTGGTTTTTTCTATTAAACATTCCAGAATTTGAAAAATTTGATTCATCTGTCCATAAAAGGTAACGAAAGTTATTTACATTTTGGCGACAGAAGCTAAGATACCAATGGCAAAAAACAAGTCTTCTCTCTGGATCCCCTGCAAAAGCGTTTGAACTGGTCGGTACTTATACGGAATAAATTTGTATTTTTTTAAAATCCTTTGAACAGTACATAACTGAAATTAGAGTCCTTGGAATATCTGCTATTGAATTCTCACGATAAGCTTCAAAATATCCAATAACTGCAATTTCCGTGGCCTCGCTTATTATGAATTCTTTTTTTGCCCTTGTTTTAGCAAAAACATTTTCGTTGCCCCTAAATTTTCGATAAAGTCTCAGAAAATATCGTTCATACGGTTGAATGCGAGCGGGATATAATTCACTGTAGTATTCTCTTGCTCTCAAGGATTTTCTGCACACTAAATAGCATTCTAACATATCACACTTTTCTTCATGGGAGAACATTTTCTTTAAATTAATGACACAATAAAGCTTATAAACAAGTATTTACACTAATGTTTGACATTATTTGATTTTATCATTGTTTTCCAAAGCCTTCTAGTTGCGAGTATGTCCAGTTTAACAATTTGTCGCTTATCTTAATGCTGTCAAATCGCGAACGCCATGTTGTTTTCATAGCCGTCTTAATATTATAATACTGCAAATAATTAAAAATATTTATCGTTATTTTGACTTTATTTTTGACTTTAGCGGAAAAGTCATTATGAACTTTTTTGTTTAAAATTTGATGCTTTAATAGAAAAAAATATAATACAGGGGTTTCCATTTAAAAAAATGTTATTTTACTGAAAAAAATCAAAATAACGACTCTCAATTGTTTTTTTTTATTTCTCATTTTTACCAGCGTTAAAAATGCTACTAGTTTGCTAATTCAAACAACTTTGTATTTTCACAAATAACACAGTTACTAATGGTGGACACTTAATTTGGATAACCCTGTATATGGCGTTCTCACTAAAAAAAATTATATTTCAAAAAAATTGGCTTACGCCCAAAATTTTTTTGTGCCAATCGTGTTTATTTAACATGTTGTAACATCCCACCAGGGGGTCCGGAGCACCCTCATCCGCACTTCGATCAAACACCTGTCATTTTCGAAATCGCTTTATGCACAAAATTTTTCACTGATATCCGGCCAACTTAACGTGTTCTAATAGCATACGTGTTTAGAGTTAGGGTGGGTTTATATGGCGTTCTCACTAAAAAAATTATATTTCAATTAAATTGGCTTCCGCACAAAATTTTTTTCTGAGAATCGTGTTTATTTAACATGTTTAACATCCCACCAAGCCGTTTCCCCCAGGGGGGTCCGGAACACCCCCTTCCGCACTTCGATCAGAATTCGATCAAACACGTGTCATTTATCAAAATCGCTTTATGCCCAAATTTTTTCACTGATATCCGGTCAACCTAACGTGTTCTAATAGCCCATGATAGTCGTAAGCTCGAGCGGGGTCCGGAACATACTTTTTTTGTGTTAGTTAGGGTGTTTACATGGCGTTCTGACTAAAAAACTCTATTTAAAAAAAATTGGCTTACGACCAATTTTTGTGTGCCAATCGCGCTCATTTAACATGTTCTAACATCCCACCAAGCCTATTCCCCCAGGGGGGTCCGGAACACCCTCACGCACTTCGATCAAACGCCAGTTATTTTTCAAAATCGCTTTATGCCCAAAATTTTTCACTGATATCCGGTCAACTTAACGTGTTCTAATAGCCCATGATAGTCGTTTGCTCTAGCGGGGTCCGGAACATACTTTTTTAGGTTAGGGAGGGTTTACATGGCGTTCTGACTAAAAGTTATATTTAAAAATAATTGGGTTACGCCCAAATTTTTTTGAGCAATGGTGTTTATTTAACATGTTCTAACATCCCACCATGCCGTTTCCCCCAGGAGGGTCCGGAACACCCCCCATCCGCACTTCGATCAGAATTCGATCAAACTCCTGTCATTTTTCAAAATCACGTTACGCCCAAAATTTTTTCACTGATATCCGGTCAACTCAACGTGTTCTAATAGCCCATGATAGTCGTTTGCTCGAGCGGGGTTCGGAACATACTTTTTAGGATTAGGGTGGGTTTACATGGCGTTCTGACTAAAAAATTATATTCCAAAAAATTGGCTTACGCCCAAAATTTTTGTGCAAATGTTTATTTAAAATGTTCTAACATCCCAATGCCGTTTCCCCCGGGGGGTCCGGAACACCCCCATCCGCACTTCGATCAGAATTCGATCAAACAATCAAAATCGCTTTATGCCCAAATTTGT